TTTCTTTTTTTGCAAAGGATTAACTTACAGAAAAGTAAAAAAAATTTGTTTCATTTTAGATTTAATAAATTGGCATTCTTTATTTATAACAAACCATTATTAATTATGGTTAATAAATTTCTTAAAAGCTGATTGAAATAATTTTGCCAATATATAATTTTACTTTTTAATATTCACTTTAAATTTCATCTTGAAAATTATGTTTAGCTTTCCAAAATATAACCTCCTTTTTATTTAAATAAGGTTTTTAAATATAAACCTTATAGTATGAGAATTTTAATACTAGTGGAAACTGAATAATATTCAAAAATAAATACAATAATTTGGATGACAATTGTTATTAGATAAGACTGTTTGAAATTATGTTAAAATATCTGAATAGCTTTTATCTAAGTTTTCTTTTTCTTTTAATGTTTTAATACTCCAAAAATGAATAGACTTATCTCCACTACTAATACCTTCAAAACATTATTACATCAGATTTACAAAAATAAATAAAGCGAATTAGATCCACATTATATGATTGATTATCAATGGCTATTAGGTGAACTAACAATTTTTAAAATTAGACGATTATCTAATCTTCTTTTATTTTCTTTATTAGTTCTTGTTTAGTTTCAAGGTATTTTTAAGTGGGATCATCATTTTAATTAAAGTCACGATCTTTAATTTTATTGAGAACTTTAGTAATACTCTTAATTTTATTTCTTACAACATGTAATTTCTATTTTTATCAACTAATTATGAATTCCCTACTTGTAACATTTATCTTTCGCACTGCCATATTCATTATAATTTAAAATAATATTAAGTAATATTAAGTAATATTAAGTAAGCACATGATACATATTTAAATAGATTTAATGAAATTTATAAAAGAAATTTTAAAGGATCAGATTTCAAATCAATTTTTTTTAGCCATAATTATTTTCATTGGCTATGTCTTTTCTCCAATCGAGTAATGACGATTGAAAAATAAATGCTAAATTTAAACCAAAATTACGATAAATATATATTAAAATAAATTGAAAATTTATTTAAAAGATATATATAAATCACGATTTTAATTTTATTTGGCAAGAATATCAATCAGTAGAGTTATCATAATATATTTAATTCCATAGAAGTTATAATTCTCTATAATAAGAAATTAAAATGTTAAAGGAAGTTATTTCAATTAAATCAACCAATTATTTTCAATAGACAAAATTGTATTGAATTTTTCTAAATTAATTATAATATCTGCTATTTATAATTTATTTCTGGAAAGGAAAAATTATTTTTGAAATATGAAAAAGGTTAAATTACTAAAAATTAATTGATAATTTCATCTACATAACACAATGTGTTTTAAGGTTCCTTTACTGTCCATATTTTATTGTATTGTCGATAATTTTAATTTATACTAATGATAAGAATCTGAGCAGGCAATGAATATAGTAACACATTAATTTTTCTTCTTATTATTTTATTTAAGAACTCTAAATCGATGGTAATAATTTATTAATTTATTAAATTAAATCAATAAATTTCTTTGATAGTAATTTATTTCAATTTATATCGTTGTAAATTCAAATCTAATAAAAAGAGACTCATGATAATAAGTTTTAATTTGTACTGAATAATACTTGATTTTGTATTTAATAAAGTGGATTAGAATTAATAAAAAATTCTATTATTAAAAAGCAATATTTCAATTAATTTTTTGGATAAATGTAATACAAATCTTGATGATAGAGAAAAAAGATTGCCTTTTAGAAAATAATTATTTGTGATTATATCAATTAACATGAATGTCCTAATTTAATCTTGTTTTTAGTTTATTGTTTAACTTAATTAATTATAAAGACTTTATAACAGAGAAATACCATTTGAGTAATAATAAAAACAGAATAGAATTAATATTTCTGAAAGAAATACTTTATGCTGAAACTTAAAATCAAAATAGTGTAGTGAATGGGAAACACAACCACTAAATGAATATATCAAAAATTTATTACAATAATGAATGCTGTTTCAAGTTATCTTTAACTTCACAAGATTACTATCTTTGGAAGGAAAATTCTAGAGAACTGAAGTTGAATATGGAAAAATAGCCATTTTCTTTTTTAGTTCAGATTTTGATATATCAAAATTTAAATAGTATATCAATTGATCTGATAAAAATTTTTTACAGAAGTTTTTAACTGAAATAAATATTAATGAAGAAATATAGTACTAATTTTAATAATAATATGGTATTATGAACATTAATCATATTTATTGATAACAATTTAATGAAGTTTATAAGTATGTATTCAATATATTTATTAACCAAAGTTAAGAGATAGTAATGCTAAGATTAGATTATTTTTTCTCATTTAGTTTATCATAATTTAAGTAAATTTTTTTTTAAATCATATTTCAGAGGAACTTAATAATTTCTTTATTATAATAATGTGGCCGCCTCATATTTTTTTAATATATCTTCTATTAATAGCAAACTTATTAATTTAATATTTTTTATTTATAATTGATTTCCATACAATACAATATTATGGTTAAGATGCCGTCAGAATCAAAGATCAAGTGTTTTAATTTCTTGGCTAATGTTATAAAATCAGCAAAAATCTAAATAATTTGGATCTATGATTTTGTGGGGGAAACTCAACTGGGAGAATATTTTTTTAATAGCTTATTTTCATTACTACTAATCTTTCCTATTTCTACTGTAATAACTGATTACTTCAGCCTTAGTTCATATATTTTACTATCCATTATTTATCTAAAGGTAAAAATTTCCAGGTTCTCTCTGAACTAATTTATAACTTTACAAATCAATTAAGGCAGTAGGCTAAAGGCAAAAATCTTGATATTATATTAATTTTGCTTTATCATCTCTTGATTTGACTAGCTTAAGTTTATTAGATACTAAATACACTTAAAGAGAGACAAAATTAATTGATATTATTTAATGGTAGAATCCCATTCAAATTTTAAGTTGATTACTCAAAAAGGATATTTTAATATTGGTTCTGTGTTCTTGATATATTCCCTATCTCACAGCTACACTAAACTTGATTTATAGGTATGACCTCGAAATTTTTACAATTCAGCTCCATTTCTTAGCGTAAAAGTGGAATCCATCACATAAAAAAAATTGGATCAAATCCTTAATTGATAGTCAAAATAACAATGAGTAAGAGACTACTAGTGGTTGATTTTATTGTCTTAGTGAATAAGCAATTCCAAAGAATGGGAAAACAATGTTTGCCTACTAAATGATAAATGGAACATACTTTCGTGTTGGAATTGGATTCAGAGATATTATATAAAAAAATAATTATTAAAATGCAGGAATTGAGTATGGGTATTAAATTAAATTAAAATAGATCATATTTAATACAACATAATGGTTATAATCTCTCACACCATAATAATGATATAAATAATTAATAATTATCATTCACATTTACAAATAATGATATTATAGTAATGGTTTAATTTTATATGATTTTTTTTCTAAGAATGAATATCTGCATAATAATAACAATCAAATAGTATATATTATTTATTAAGATGAGAGATTAAAAAGGCTCATTCATAAATGAATTTTGATATATAAATTTATATGCATAAAAATATCTTTTCTTTTCTTCTTCAATCCATTCAAAAGATTACTCTGAATTCTTTGAAAATTAAGGGATTATTTCATAAATTAATCTAACTTTAAATTTATAGTTTGATTATTTAATCAGTTAAACACTTTTAGAAGTAAAGTGATTATAGAGTTGTAACTCTTTAAAATCTGTGTATATTATACCAATGATTCTTAAATGTTAATCATTTAAAGATAAACAAAAGATTATTGAAGGTTGTTCCTTTGTAAATATTCAGGTTAACAAAGATTAATCAGTAATTAAGATTATTAGATATTTATTTATTCTAATTGTTATTTAGTTAAGCTAAGGGTTCAAAAATGATCTTGATTATTAACAGTGATTAATATATTTCAGTCTTTGAATTGTGATAGACTTGCTTAACCAATTAAAGTAATCGAAAAATTGGCTCAAAAGAGAATTAGTATTGAAATGTTCAAAATATGATATAAACAAAATATAAGAAATATAAACATCATCTGCACTATCAAAGGATAATATTTAATTATGTGACATTTTTACACATGACTATCAGTAATATACCTAAAAAGCAATTGTTTTGAAAAATTGAATTCAAAAACTAAAGGACTAGCTAATTGAAAAAATTATCTAAAAGATGTAGAGAAATAATAAGTGATATTAAAATACAAAGAGGATTAATTATCTTTCATAATATTAAATTTTGTTTTCATACAAAAGTCCATATTATTATTATTATTCATAACCAAAAATTTAATATTATCTATGTTAAAGGTCATCAAATAAGTGCAAGAGAAATTTGATTTGGTTTTATATACTAATACTTTTTAGGTTGAATTTAAGGAAATTTTTTAAGAAGACTTATGGATAATAAGGGTTTTTCTACATTAGTTCTGAGATTAGCATTTCAAGCAGTATTGTATGATAATATTATTGTAGCATTTAAGAATTTTACTAGAGAGGTCCATAAAATCAAAATAAACTTTTATGGGGTTCTAGTTTAGTAGGGTATCTGGTAGAGCAATTTAATATTGTAATCAATATGAATTTCTATTAATATAATTATGATATTGATTTATTAGAAAGATTACTCAAAATGAATTGGATTATTTTGAAATTTCTCAGCCATACAATTATTATGGAAATTGAAAATTGGATAAATTTTAATTTAATTCCTTTACTTAGAAAAAAGAGCATCAATGAATTTTTGCATAATACTTCTAAAAAATTCTCCTTTAAACAACCTAAATAAATCATATACTCATAATTTTTCGAAAATTAAAATTAAAATAACTTTTATTTTCAGTATCAAAAATAGTTAAGTTATTAACTGATTCCATTGTTCAAAAGGAAGCTTCATTTCAAGGAGGGTGTATATGATACCTCCTAAGTCAAATTAATTTAAATTATATTAGTGAAAATGAAATAATGTCATCCTCATCTAAGTCTCTTTGTTATAGGAAACTAATCTAAATAAAAATTAATTAAAATTTAATGTAAAATTGAAAAAATAATTTCCTATAATGCAACAAAAATTTTGATTAATTCCTAAGAATAATATTAAAAGTCCTTATGAGATTTGAATTTAGAATCTTTTCTATTACACAAACTCAAAGGGAGAAAATTATGTGATGATTATAAATTTATATAAGTAGTACAGCATAAGGTTGGGATGAACTCACAGCGCAATATATTGTATTAGAATGACTTGTTAAGAGTAAAAATGAGAAATACAAGAAAAAGAAGTGATTTATTGAGTGGATAAGACATTAAAAATAGCATCAAATTAAAAATAAATAAATCAAAAAGAATTATCAAACTCTGAAAATCTTCTCAATTAAATTCAATTTCTACTTTATATTATTTTAGACTTTATCGATGATGTTTTGATTGACAATTTCAATTCTTAAATTATTATTTAATTTATGTAAAATATTTTTTTCATCATTTTTTAAGGTTCAACTATTCACTTTTCATTTATTTTGTCATTGTTGTTGTTTCTTCAACTAAATCAATATTTTAGATATCTATCTACTCAATTAGGCATATGATGTTTTAGATCTATAGTTTATATTTCTAAGTTATGTTTTGGACATAGTTTCTTATCTATTTTCAGTTGACATAAATATATTTAATTATATTAATATATTAAATATTGCTAATTCATTTTTATTGATTACATCATCTTTTAATAATTT